TTATATGGTACAAAAAAAGTGATGAAGTTAATGAAAACTATGCAAGAATTTCCTAGCCTTCTTTCTGATGAAAGGTTAGCCATAATTTGTATCACTGGCTGATTTCAGAATTTTGTAATCATCTTTTGTTTTCTGCAGTTTGACTATGATATGCCTATGTAAAGTCTTCCTTGTATTCATTGTTTGGGGTTTCCGTGCTCCTTAAATTTATAATCTTCTTTCACAAAATTTGGGCAGTTTTTGGCCATTATTTTTTCAAATATTTTTTCTGCTTAACGTTATCTTGGATTCCAGTTACACATATGTTAGACCACTCAGTATTGTCCCACAGGTCTCAGATCTGTTAGGTTCTATTTTCTCTTTCACTCCCCTACCACTTTCTGTTCTTCAGATTGGATAATTTCTATAGTTCTTGGATTCCAGTTACACATATGTTAGACCACTCAGTATTGTCCCACAGGTCTCAGATCTGTTATGTTCTATTTTCTCTTTCACTCCCCTACCACTTTCTGTTCTTCAGATTGGATAATTTCTATAGCTCTGTCTTGAAGTTCACTGAAGCTTTCTTTTGCTGTTTCCAATTTGTTGTGAAGATACTGAAGTGAATTTTTAACTTCAAATATTTTGTTCTAAAAAATCATTTGGTTTTTATAGTTTTCCTCCACTGAGATATCCTATCTGTTCATTGAGTATACACACATTCCTTTATATCCTTTAGTGTGGTTTTAAAAGTCCCTTTATAAACTTTTTTGCTAACTTCAACATCTGCATCATCTTAGAGTCAGTTTCCATTGGTTAATTTCTCTTTACCAAGGGTCACATTTTCATATTTCTTAATATACCTAATAATTTTGGTTTGTGTCCTGGACATGATGATAGACATGTTATAGAGACTCTGAAATTTTTAATGCTCCTTTGAACAGTATTGTTTTTTGCTTTGTTTTAGTAGGTAGTTAATTTGGCTAACCTTAATCCCAAGATCCACCAGGTCCCCTGTGATGAGCAACAGCTGAAATATGAGGGTACTTCAGAAAGTTTGTGGAAAAATAGAATTAAAATAAGCATGTTCCCGTGAACTTTTTGAAGACCTCTTGTACCTTCAGTTCTTTTTAGCCTTAAAAGAACAGGGGCTGCTCTGAGTCTTCACCAAGCATGTAAAGTTCAAAGGTTGGGCAGAGATTTGGTCTGAACTTGTGTGCAGAATTTATGGCTCCCTCTTTATATTCCTCTATGTCCTAAAATATTCCTGCTTATTTTTCAGCTGCTTAGGTAGCTTCAAACTCTATCCTCTGCATCCTCAAGCCAGTAAAACTTGTGATTTCTATTCAAGTCCCCAATGCCAAGTACTGGATGCTGACTGCCATCAGGCCAAGATCCAGGCAAACAAAAAAGGTGTCATTCCCTCCTCCAGATGCTGACTCCCCTCCAGTTCCTGCCTGCTTTTGGTCAATTTCTAGCACCTTTAGAGAGTGATTTTTAAAAATTTTTTTGTCATGAATTTATAATAGCTAACTGCAGGACTGTTCCAAAAGAGGCTACTTTAAAATGTCCCTTTTTACCTACTGTTTCTTCATTAGTCACTATCTATTATATTTTTGGTTCTTGTAATCCTTGTAGTTTAGTCTTCAGTTCTGAAATGACTTTTTTCTTTTATTTCTAATTCTTCCATGACTACTGTCACCTTATTTCTAAATTAATATAATTCAAGATCTATGTTGTTTTTTTAATGTCTTGTATCACTTTTTCTTTTTTCTCTTTTTTGGTGGCTGGCTGGCACAGGGATTGTACCCTGGACCTTTGTACTATCACCACCATGCTCTAACCAACTGAGCTAACTGGCTAGCTCCACTTTCAGTTTCCATCTGTATTAGAGACACGTATTTCTTTTTTTTTTTTTTGTCTTTTGTCTTTTTCCGTGTCCGGCCACGGATCGCAACCCTCAGTGTCGCCCCCGTACCGGACCAGGACCGGCAACGGGACTGCAACCCTCGGCGCTGCCCCCGCGCCTCGCTCAGCCAGTGAGCGGGAACCGGTCTGTATGTGGGATCCGAACCCTCGGGCGGGAGCGCCGCCGCACTTCCCAAGCGGCGCACTTATCCAGTGCGCCACCGGGCCGGCCCCAGAGACACGTATTTCTGACATGCTTATATTTTTTGTAGATATGTTATTCTGCTTATTTTTTTCCTTAAAATGATATGAGAGTTGACCCTGATCTGCTTCTATTGTCCATTTTATATGAAATTAGTTTTCCTGATTCATAGAATATTCTGGATAGCTTCTCTGCTTACAGAGTTCCTTCTTCTGTTATTTGCATATGCTGTTAAATATAGTGGCTTGTTTTTGACATTTCTCTTTTCCCTTAATCTACTTACATCTAGACCTCCTCTTTTCCTATTGTTTCTATTCTTCTTAATTTCTCCTTAGTGTCTAGACAGGAGCACTGGCAGGTCAGTTTATAAAATTCACAATGGCTATAGTGCTCAGCCCCACTCAAGTCTTACTATGAATCACTTGCACTATTAGAAATGTCAAAATGTGGGCCGGCCCAGTGGCGCACTCGGTAGAGTGTGGCGCTTGAGAGTGCGGTGGTGCTCCCGCTGAGGGTTCGGATCCCATATGGAGACCGGTCCGCTCACTGGTTGAGCGTGGTGTGGGCGCAACACCGAGGGTTGCGGTCACATTGCCAGTTGCAGTGTGGGCATGGCACCGAGGGTTGCGATCCCGTTACCGGTCACGAAAAAAGACAAAAAGGAAAAAAAAAAA